AGACAGATACTCACTCTCTCTCTCTCTCTCTCTATATATATATATATATATATATATATATATATACGTATATGTATGTGTGTGTATATACATATTTACATCTATAAGGTTTGTCTATTCCAATGCTATACACCACATCATTAGCACACAAGCCATGCTGTCGCCTTCTTTCTTTTTTTTTAACTAACTATGGTGTGGAGACAGAGGTGACAGACCCTAATAGTGACAAGAGCTAAGAGACTGCAGCTACAATCTGGTTTACAAATGAGACAATGCTGCTGCAAACATTGGCCACAGGCCAAGGTGATGTGAACGGGTCATTTTATCTAACGAGGTGAGGGTGCGAGGCACAAGGCCGAGCTGTGTGTTTTCTTGTCTATAAAGACCTGAGATAATGAACGCTAAACACTGATCCGACTGTCATGCATGTGACACTATCTTAATAGAGGCCGTCTCCTGACATTAATGGAATTAACAGAAGCGTGGGGAAAAAGAAGCCTTAAGGTATATTATACATAAGGAAAAAAAAAAGTTAGCTATTGGTTTCATAGGCTTTAATGACAACAGGAGTGTCAAGAGTTGCAAACACTAGTTTTTTTGGGGAAAAAATCATATGTAAAAATGAAAATGTGTCTTGTAGAATGTGTGGAGAGTTTTGTTTATAATTGTTATGGAGTTTTTGTCTTCAACAATATTAACAGGTCCTCAGTCCCTAACATAGACTCACTCAGCTTGTCAGTTGTAGACATATGTTGGCTCTGACACAAGCTGGGCATCTGACATGAAGTTGAAGCCTCCACAAATTATTATTATTACACAAATTATTTATAGCAGTTAACCCATTCATTTTCTAATCTAATTGTTTCTAATTAGTTTTCATTCTGTTTAAATTACAAAAGTATTGTTTTCCAAGAGAAAATACTATTTTTTGAAAAAACAGAAAAAGAAAACAAATCGCCTTTTTCATTTATGTGATGCGGTGTCCATTTCTTATTGTAAAACTTTTTTTAAATCATCCTTATTTTTGTACATGAGAAGTCACACTCTTAATTGACGAGTGATACAGATTGTGCTTTTTAAGTAAATGCTGTAAAAGCTGAATTACGCCCGACGCTGCATTGCCAAACCTACACATCGAGCCAGGTTTGAAGACGATATAATAGCTGAGCATCCCAAGAAAGAAATCAGTCATTAACTGAGTTAAATAAGCCTTTAAAGCTTAATTAGTAATTGATAAAAGTGGCTGGTAGGATTGGACATTGGAAGCACAGTTACAAATCTCATCTCGTGTGAGAACGGTGCTAAGGAATTCCCTGGAGAAAATTAAGTGTAGAGAAAGGGCAGTGGTAATAGGTTGCACATTGATTCCACATGGCTGCACACAATCAAGATGGGAACAAAAAAAAAAGTAAAGAGAGAAAAACAGAGAAAGTCAGTGACCATAGACATTGTGCCCTTTGTGGACTGTACAGTGTGAAAACCACAGGGATGGATAGTAAACTGCATTAAAAAAAAAAAAATCACATTTGAAAAACTCATTAACACTTTTTTTTTCAAACAGTCTTCAAGGCTAATCCAATTCTAAAAAGGTGACACATTCATTTACGAGCCCAGAAAACTACACTTACAAGAAAGCTCATCATGTAGGAGAAAAAAAAAGAAATATAACATCTGCCCACTCGCTGAACAGAACCCCAGACTTTTTTAGCATGTTTAAGTTTTCAGATGGATCTAGGACAGGCATGGGCAAACTACAGCCCAGTGGCCGGATGTGGCTCATTTGGCTTTTAAATTCGGCCCGCCAAACGTGTCCAAAATATGTTAATAATTTCTATGATCATCATACTTCTGCCTTTTCCCTGCAATGCCCACATTACTCCATAGATGGCGTAGAAAATGGCTTAAATCATTTTAGAATATATTTTAGCATTTTTTAACATTATACAGATGTCCATAGAAAAAGACAGTGTAAAAAAATATATAAAGTACTTGATTCAGAACTGTTAAATTAATCATGTTAATTTAACAGATATCAAAAGTTCTGAGAGGAGACAATATGCCTAATTTGTATCCAATAATACAATCGTCCATCGATTTATTATTATTTTTCTCTCATACACATCATTTACAAATAGAACAGAAAACAGTTTCCCTGAAACACCTGGTGTTAAATACCATCTTAACTCATGGCAGTTAGTAAGTCAACAACTGAAACTCTGGTTGACACAATTATCACACGTTCTACAAGCCACAATCAAGACGCACAGTTATTTCTGAAATCCACCAACTCTACGAAGCTAAATTTTGAGTTTTACTTCTCTTGTCATTTTTACATTTCAATAATTCCATCATTAGGGTTAGTCACAAAACATATTATACAAATTTAAAAACAGTTATTTATATATACAGTATATATCTTCTTTGTTATTTTTCTTATGGCTTTGTCCCTTTTTTTTCAGGGGTTGCCACAGCAGATGATTGATTTCCATCTCTCCCTGTTCTCTGTATCTTCTACTCTGACTCCAACTATCTGCATGTCCTCCCTCACTGCATCCATATATCTCCTCTCTTTCTCCTACCTGGTAGCTCCATCTCTAACATTCTTCTACCAATGTATCCACTGTCCCTCCTCTGCACACGTCCAAACCATCTCAATCTGGCTTCTCTAGCTTTTTCTCCAAACCTTCCTGTCTGTGTTGTCCCTCTAATGACCTCATTCCTGATCCTGTCCATTCTTGTCACTCCTAAAGAGAATCTTAGCATCTTTAACTCTGCCACCTCCAGCTCCGCCTCCTGTCTTCTGCCTATTGCTACTGTCTCTAAACCATACATCATGGCTGGTCTCACCACCGTCCTGTAAACCTTTCCCTTCACCTTAGCTGACACTCTTCTGTCACAGATCACTCCTGACACTTTTCTCCAGCTGTTCCATCCTGCCTGTACTCTATTCTTCACCTCTCTTCCACAGTCTCCGCTGCTCTGAACAGTTGATCCTAAGTACCTAAACTCCTGCACCTTCACCACCTCTGCTCCTTGTAACCTCACTATTTCACTGACCTTCATTCCTCTTCTTTCTAGTGCAAA